AATTTAATAAATTAATTTATTTTAATAAAAAAAAATTAACGATTTTATAAAAGTAACTTTATATATATATATATATATATATATATATATATATATCAAATATGTTTTTGTACTTTGTAAAATAATTAATAATTACTTTTGTAATTCGTAAATTTGTCATTTTTAAGGCTAGAATCATTAGTATTGAAGATAAAAGAAATCGCATTATGATTATTAATGACAAATTTAAATTAAATAATGGAATATATTTCACTACAAATAAAATAAAAATATTAAATAAAAATCCTATGAAATTAAATTACATTAAATATTGTTGTTTGTTTTTATGATAATGACAGAAGAAATACTAATAAGAGGAATTTCAAATAAATATTAATATTGAATTCACTAGTTGCAATGCCAAACTGTATAATACTTGATAAGAAGATATGAAATTTTAATTCACATTATTAATCAAATATTGTAACAGAACTCCTGTAATGATGAATCTTTTTATTAAAATTACACGTATTGAAAAAAAAATTCCAATAAATATAAATATCTGTATAATAAATGGTTCAAATGTATCTAAAATCAATTAATATATCAATTACTGGTACAATCGCAAGAAATTTATAATAAAAATTTTAGGAATAAATGTAATATGATAAAATATTTATTAAAATTATGCCTTAACTTGATTGATATTCAGAGCCTATAATATTATTAAACATAATCGATTGAAATATTTTCCAATATAATTTACGATATATTTGATAAAAAAATTTCTGTTTCATAAATTTTTTATGAACTGAAGTCTTAACTGTTGATTTAATAAAATGTGTTCGTACTATTTTATACTACTGCATTATGCAAATTTATTACTAATTTAAATCTATAATAATTATTCTTTATTTAGTTTTCATGTTCGATGATATATTCGTTTTAATTACATATCAATAAAAATTTATAAAAGTAGAACTCATAATGAGAATGTTTACCGCATATATTAAAAAAACTTCTATTGTTTCTAAGATTGTATTTTTTAACAGAAATTTTGGAAATAAGTAAGACAAAATGAGATTCGATTAAAATAAATACAAATAGGAATCCCAACAGAATAATCATAAGTTTTCTCGTTAACAAACTATTTAATATATATTCTTTTACGAAAAATTTAAAATATTTGTTAAATTAAAAATTTATGTTTTTAATAGTTTTAAAACTAAATAAATTTGCAATATTTATTTGTATACTCATTGTATAGTGCAAGCTTACTTGTTATTATATATTTTTTTCTTTCTGTTTTCATTACTTTTAAACAATTCAATTGTAAATATTATGATTAGTAACATAATACAGTATAAATATAATCAAATGTATAAGTTATCTTTCGATCTACTATTTAAATAATATTAATGATCTATTAACCTCTTATTTATATTGATACCTAAATTAATTATGTAAACTATTTATTGTTTATAAAATTCATACATTATAAAAAACTTACTCAATTATTGTTATTACAAATTGTAGTATTATCCATGTAATTATTATAAAAAATAATATAAATATTTATATATATATATATATATATATATATATATATATTATTTTTTATTCATAAAACAAATTATTAACGAGAGTCCAAAAAGTTTTTGTAGACACGATTTCAACCTAACAAGAAGAGTCAGAAAGCTTTCTTACCTTTTGCTCCCGCGGCGTCACAATTTCTCACATTAAGGAATTGAAACAAAGCTTTTGAAGCTTGTCTCTGACATCTCTCCTCTAACTTTACGTTCAACTCATGATTTGTAAGATTATTTCATCATCTCCATCATCTCTTTTAAAACATGTATATAAATCCAATTGAACGTTAACCTCCACTTCATAATTAAAAGATATATTCCGTTGAACTTCTGAACCGTAATTACTACTTTAAAGTAAATACTGATATCAATTTTACTTCCCATAATTTTATTTAAATTTCGTTTCATAAATAACTAGCATCACTTTACAATGTTAAATATCTCAATTAAACATCAATTCGTGTTAATGGTTTAATCAAACTTTTACCGAATTTAAATACAATTTTTATTGAAATATTATGTATAATACTTAAAACTGAATTTAAGAATAAAATTTAATTTTAAAATACGAGTACTATTAATTAAGAAAGAGCTGGTTAATATACTTTTTATATAAATTTATCTACACTTATTTAGTATTTAATGTATCATATAAGACAATTCATAATTGCAAAGTTATAATAAAACGCTTCTTTATACGAAAAATATTTATACAAAATAAAAATATATCAAAAATATTTATACAAAAAAAAGAATATCATGATTGAAAAATATCACATAAAAATGAAATTTCTATTTATAAAGATTTCTATTTATATATATATATATAAATATTACTAGAGCACTCCGACATTTATTAAAAAAAAAAAAAAAGTATTATTAAAATAACAATTCAACGTTTAAAAAAATAATTTAAACATAAATAAATATCATAAGTTAGAACCTTGTTACAAAAAATATCAATACAGACAATAGGGAATGAAATATGAATGGACCCACGTCGGAATGCATCGGAGTGCAAATCCGCGCGATTCACATCAGTTCCTTGTCCAATGTTATGTATGTCCAATAATATTTTATAACAAATTGATATAAATTATAACACATCTCAATTTAGACCAATTGAATGTTATTTTTATTTGATAAACCTTTTTCGTTTTTTTTTAACAACCATTTAGGATTTATATTCCACAATAATCGTTAACAAAATAATAATTTATAAAATAAATATATATCATTTGCTTTTAGCCTTTCTAACATTTATATGAAAATACGTACTCTATGTATTATATTAGAATTAAATATTTAATGCTATTTAAGTAGACAATTTTTCAAAACTTACCTTACAATTCTGTTCCAAATTTATTTTTTAATGAGAGTAAATAAATTTTTAATATGTTAAGTTTCATTTCTAAAATATTTATATTACAAAAGTTAATAAAAATCACATAAACCATTTCATTTGCATAATAATTTACGGTGAACAATTATTTCAAAGTGCATTTTGATGTAAATGAAAGAACTGAAATTATATACATATTTTTTTTAACGATTTTGAGCGTAAAAATTGTATGTATGAATACTAATCCATAGATTCCTGATTCATATCTGCCAAAATCAACTCTTCTCAATCTTAGAAACGCGGTACGATTAATTTTCGATCGATAAAAAATTACAATGATCATTTTTTGAAAACTACATCGTCTAAAAAAATTTAATTTTCTATTAAGAATGAATTTTTATAAACAATTCATTTTTATCAAAGAAATCATAAGCTTAATGAAAGTAATTTGAAATTAATTGCCAAATAATTCATGATTACATATTTTAAAATTCGATATTTATATATAAGAAAATTTTCCTTGTTCACAAAGACTAATTATTTAATAAAATTATTATTTAACACTTACTGTGGAAAATTTAAAAGATAATTTTAAGATATTGAAAAATCTATTATATTGTTATAATAGATTATATAACATTATATATTATATTATTTTCTACCTATAACTAGTTTGCCACACATTAAACATTGTAATCTGCATAAATCTTACTTGAATTTTATGTACTAAAACTACTTATATAGTTGATATTATTATCCTAAAAATGATCTGCACTTTATAAATCCTTATTCTGCATAAATTTAATTTTTCCAATTGAATGAGTGTTTTTTAAGTGAGAAGAAAATCTACGATACACTACTACTTGGCATTACCACTGCTAATGAAATATTTCTTATGTAGTTAATTATATTATATACTTCATGCAGTTTTCCAATCCCCTACCACTTAAAATTGTTATAGTTATTGTTTAACTATCCTATCTCTTTTTATTATCCATGAATTTTCAAACACTTATATACATATATTAATTTCTTAACTTAATTTTTTAACTTAATGAAAAATATATCAATCTTTAAATTTGTTAAAAAATAATCTAATTTTACTCCAATATTTGACTGGTAAATACTGTTTTAATTTAGTAATTTTTAAGTATTTGGTAATATACTGATAAAGACATAATAATTAGCCCTTTATGTACATTATATAAACAGTATTTAACTAAATGCACATTATTAATTTATTAAATTAATATTATTATACTCTGATAGATGTATTTTAATAAAATTAATATAGTAACAAAAAATTTTATAACTAAAAAATTAAGTCCTGGACTTACCCAATTGAACAAGTATTTATGTTATACTACTATTATGATTTATTATTTATTGTTGATTTATTTTCAAAAAGACTTCGGGATCATAATTCTGCATTGAATTGTTTTAATCGAAACTCTTAATTCTTAGCATTTATTATTGAAAAAAAAGAATTCATGCAATACTTTATTTAAGAAGGTTTACTATCGAAATAAAAAGTAAAATGTAGATTCATTTAACTTAAAAATATTATGAACAATATCATTCAATTACATTTAATTACTTAAACTATTTATTAATTGTTTCTATAACCATTCTTTAAATAATACAGAATATTAATTTGTTTATTTATCAATGCTATGAAAATTTATATATTCTTTTTTAATTTTAATGTCTAGACTAATTTCTTTTATCAATACATTTCATAGTTTTTCTAATCGTTCAATTAATACAACATTTTTAAATGTTTAACGTGAATAATCGAACAAAATTGTCACTAAAATATCTAAAAATATTCAAATATATCAAAATATACGCACATATAAAAAATACAAACATATACAAACGTATACAAATTTACAAAAATATACAAATATATCAAAATGTTAATAAATTATGGATTACAAACATTACGATTACTAATCGGTAATCATAGATATTTGTAAAAGTGAACACGAACAGACATCTAACGAAAAAAGTGTCACGATAAATACAATGAAATTAAGACGTCTTTTGCAGATTTATCATACATAAAATAAATTTCTTAATTAATACCGTTACGCACACCGATATACAAAACTTCACATCTTAAATTTATACGTATGCAAGGTAAATGTTAGTGCATAATATTATACGAAAACTTACACTTTACTGTCACTTGGACTTACATTATGATTATCAATTATCATATTTTCTATTGTTCTATCTTGTACCAAATAATTTCACAAGTATTTTGATTGCTTGGATTCCGCTGTTCTAATTTATATAACACTGATCCATTGATCTCTGGACGGACTCCAGCTATAGCGACGATAGATGATAAAATGGATGGGGTCGATTTTCATAGAATGCATCTTCGTTTTTGGCAAGTCCGTATCTCGTCTCGGCATGTGGTAAACTTGTCTTTTTATTACCCGAAATTCTTCGTTATATAACCACTTTTCTGTTTTATAGTGATACGTGCATCTTCCTTTGTATTTTATTTTTTGCTATATTGCAAACGTCATCGAAGCAAATATTTCATATACACAGTCAATAGTATAGCCTATAAAAAAAAATACATTCATAACGTGACGTTCAAAGAATACAAATAAAATTCAGTCTAATTTGAAATATAAATTATTTATTAAACTATTAATTATTTATTAAAGAAACAACCTTATTTTTACATTGATTGAAAAAAAAAGAAAGGTTTTTATATATTTGGAAAATAATGGTCAATATATGACATCGTGTATACGTATAAGAGAAACATTTTTTATACCAAATATTACGAAAATTAATACTATATCAGAACATTTTTTGGGGCGTCTTTGTGCAGGCATTTCTTAGCCATTTCATACACCTAATAAATAACTCTTAAATACATAATTATTAAACATGATTTTTATGAATAATTTCGACATCGATGATTATAAAATAACAAACATAAAATAAAATGATTAAATAACTGCACCCTGAAACTTACGAGAGAAAATATAAATTAATATGAATAAAGAGTGTGTAGAAAGTAAAAAATAGTGATAACTATTGTAATAACGGATGGTCTTTTCTTTTCATTATCATGTCATTTCTATTCAAGATCTATGGCTATAAAGTCATTGTTAAATAAATTTTTATATACTTATATCATTGCTGATATCGAGCATTTAATTTATTACTTATTATTCATATGCTGAAAAATAAGAAAAATATAAAAATCTTTATTTCGTATTGGATATTGAAATAAACTAATACATATTTCATTAAAACTATTCGCAAATGTTATGATACTCGTTAGTAAAGAGATTGAATGTATTCTAGAAGAGAATTACAATAATCTATAAAATGATAATTAATTAATTCTAATGAGAATTGTAAATATGATTATAAAGTAATTCGATATTCTTTATGCAATTCATAATAAATTTCTTTTACAATTTCTGATATATTTAAAACTATATATATATATATATATATATATATATATATATATATATCTATATAAGCAAAATAATGTACAGATTGTGTGCCTTAGTTGGAATTGGCATACATTGTAATGATGTTTGTCGAGTATAAATAAGTCGCCAAAATCACACGGCCCTTATGCACAAATGCTTGTAAACTCTGTTATTATGTAAATTTAAGTTTCAGTAATTTACATGGAAATCTAAATATAAAACATAGTAATCGAATAATAATAATTCTTAATTGAAAATATCCTCGTGAAAAATTCAAAATTTAATCAAATTTATTAATTTATTGCAATATGCTCTATAATTATAATATAAAATAAAGTTAAAATTTTTCCACTCAAATGAAAATGTTATTTTTCACCACTGCCTAAATAAATGATATCTACTTTATCTACATACCACAGAGCCCACGCATTTATGCATGGGTATGCACGTGCACGCACGCACACGTACACGCGCGCGCGCGGGCGATCATATGTATCTTGTCGAGTTTATAGCTGATATTAGCGTTACCGAATTCGCACAAAATGACACGATAGAGGTAATAACACCGAGAATCGACAAAGGCAACAATATCATACGCAAAACAAATCAGATACGCGCGTATATAACACTAATAACAAGACGAAATTCGCACAAAAAGAGACAAGTGGAGAGAATGCAGGCGATGTAAGTCATCAGTGAACGAGGAAAGGATATGGAGATGAGAGGACACTAAGACCGAAGGATGTACGAAAATATCGACAGACGCTAGTCGACGTAAGTCACAAAGACGCTGGTATGATGAAGCAGCCTCGAAGACGCCGAAGGAAGAAATCGCATCACCCTCTACTCAGAAAATCGAAAGGATGCAGACGACACAGCACAGGACAAAACTGAGCTATGTCGACATTATGAAGCTCCCAAGGCTTGGCGATGTTATCCAGCTGCTTCCCAGTAAATATCCCATCAGTCTGTCGCTTCTGCAAAATCATCCGTCTATCGGAGCTCCTAGACGGCCCACCTGTATACGACTACTATCCTACATCTTTTGATAAAATGAGAATAGGTAATCGATCTCTCCTTCTTACCAAATCTTTCCCCTATTCGCTAACCCATACACGCTATACGCACGCACTCAAAATTGGGTGTATGTCAATGTAAATAAATGAAGTAAGGTTTATAGTAGTTGAAGGCAAATAAGTGTGAAAATGAGAAGAAAAAATATGAAGCTTTGCCTTCATTGAGTTCATAGATATATATATATATATATATATATATATGAGAGAAAGAGGGAGAGAGAGAGAGAGAGAGAGAATAAAATAGATAGAGAAACAAAGAAGAATAGAAAACTGATTTCTTTTTATCAAACTCGTACTCCCCGTACGATATTCAGAGAATCCCATCTCATTCGTGGTTCAGAATACGAAGAAAAAAATTTATCTGAAAAAATTCTTTTTGTACACGACATCAAATTGAGAATCGCTATGTTGATACATCGATACAAACTGAATAAATTAGTTCATGTTTCTATATTAACATAATACAATGATTGTTGTGAATAAATAAATATTATATCAGATATTATTAAATAATTTGGTAATAATATTAATTATTTGTTTAATAATATATATATTATGTATGTTATGTAGAATGTATAATATTTGTTATATATATATATTATGTATGTTATGTATAGTATTTGAAAAATTAATACAAATATTTATTACAATAAATTCGATTCAATTAGTTACATAATAAGCACTTAAGATTATATCGATTCAATAAAAGTCTATTCGTCCTATTTTTTTTTTTTTTTTTTTTTTTGAATTTTTATTGAAATATAGGTACTTTTGACATATACATAATAATCCTTATGATAAGGAACTTAAAGCATTAAAATAAAAACTTTTCTACCAAATATTTTAAGTTATTCAAAAGTATGCTACTTCCAGTTTAAGAAATTTGAATAATAAAAATAGGAAGATATAACAATTTTTCACGAAATATAGAAACCCTTGTCTCATTCATAATCAAGACAATAAGAAACGTGATAAAAAAGCTATTATTTGAAGTGTTAGAGCCGTGGTACTAAGTCAAACTCATCAAACATATAGAGACGTTAAAGCTCCACAAAAGTCTCATAAACACGAATTTCTTGGTGCAGTTTTCCCTCAGAGATGGAGAACCGCCTTCAGATTTATACAGACGCAAAACTTTTTCATTTGGCCAACGGCCAGAGAAGTTCGTTATGACGTCATCGATGCGACTACACTGACTTGGGCTACATTATATTTTGTGCTTTAAGTGGCGCTACTCATATTACGACAGCTTTCACAGTCCATCGGCCTTAGTATCCATAATTATCAAGGTAAAATGTTATGTCAAGTATCTTATGTAAGTAAAGAAGTATGGTGAACAGGTTAGAAGATATGTTAATTGTAAATCGCAGCCCAATAACCATATCATTTGAAGATATGACAATTGTATTATTAATTACAAACTCGAATGAAGACCAGTGGTACTCGATTTCTTATTAAACTTATAATATAAATAAATATTTCTATCGCTAGCAATTGTACGTTCAAAGTAATAAAAAGGAATTTAATATTTCTAAAATATACCTTGAAATAATGACGGGATATTTTATAACGTGATATAGTCTTACTTTTTTAACAAAGTAATAAAAGTTGATAAAAAATCAGTTCAGCATTAGTTATAGGAATAATATTTTTTAATAACACTATTAATCTGTGTTCATATGTATCAACAGTTCGCTTATGCATTTTATTTTTCAATATTGAGTAACATCGTTTGGGAATAATAATATTTATTATCCATTTTCATTACTAAATTAATAAATATATTTATAATAATCCACCGAACTATATAATTTCTTTAGATAATACGTATTGTAATACTTTTATAATCATTTTTTATTATTTTATAGATAATTATGTATCCGTTAAATGATGTATTAACTGATCGACAAAAATAATGCAGAATTAATTAAATCCAATAATTTTTATATAATTTATAATTTCAAAATAATTCAAACATTTTTTCAAAAAATAACAGTCACATGCTTATATCCCCATATACAGTTCATTTTATATAAAGTAAAACATACAAAATTATGCAGAAAAGTAATAAATTAACGAATCAATTATTAAATGCATTAAAATATAAATAAATAGCATAATGAAATAAATATTCTAATCAAAATTCTAATAAAACAATTAATTTGAATAAAATTAATGAATTTTAGTAAAGTAAGTATTTACATTAAATATTAATATTAAATAGTAATATTTTGATTTAGTGGATGTCCCACTTCTCCGTCTTATTAAACGTTTATGCATCGCAAGAAATCACCTGATATTTCACTTAGTCTATACTTACGAGATGCAACGTACTTTTAAGAGTGACCTAATGAAATAAATTTCGAATATAAATATGCACAAAATGAAAATAACGAAACGCGTTAAACAATGAAAAATATATTATGAATATTACTTCTTTAAAAATTATTTATTCATACATTTTCATTAAAATGTTAATGTAAACTCTGCTAGTGTAAACTCTGTTAATGACATAAAAATATCGACCGTATGTAAGGAAGTTTGATAATAGTTCTTGATTTAATCATTGCACATTATTGTAGTCTCAGGTCAATTAGATGATGAAACTCAATTACTCGTATTTGTTGTAAATGTTATTAATTGAAATATAATTACAGCTTTGCTAACAAAATATTAAAAAATTTGAAAACAAGTTACAAATATCTTGCAATTAATAGAAAATTATTAAACCCGTATATAATAAATATAATATATATAAATACATAGATAATAATTAGCTATTTAAATTAATATGAATTTCAATATTAAGCTTTTATTTTAATAGATTAAATAAAATATACTTAAATTAATATATAAGTATCAATATATTCTATGGATTCCTATTTCAGCAGTAATTAAATAATATTCCAAGTATCCGTTGTTAAATATAGTAACTCGTCATTTATGTTTTAAAAATAATTATTAAAATACGTGAAATTCAAATTAAATTATTTTAAATTAAAATTGCTTTAAACTAAAATTCTCTTTAA